CTTTTTTAAGAAAGGAAGTCTTAACTTATTAGTTAACATTAAGACTCATTAGTTCATATATTTTATTTATATAATAGATTATCATAAGATAATTGGTTGACATGAATTCAAATTAAAACTTGAACAGGCTTATTTTTTTAGTGTTTAATTTTTAAAAACATTTCAGGGTTTTTTAATTACGTTAAAAAAAAATTATTCACCATGACAGGCAAAAATTAGCAAACCAGGCTTATGTTTCAGAAAGTTTAACAATTGTTTATCAGCCAAGAATAGTAGCTGGCATTTCTGGATCTTTTTGATGTGGTGCATTTCCAGCTTTTCACAGGAGGAATCTTTCATATTTGCTTTACTTATGCTTACTGGATTTCTGGTATGTAATACATTCAGTAAAGAAACAGGCACAATTGATATACCAGAAAATTCTACCTGTTATCCTAAATGTTACTCGTAATACCTAGATATGATTATTGTAAGTTGCTTAACTGTTGAAAGCTCTCCTAAATACATATCTGAAAACTTGGTTGACAACTTAAAAAAATTCTAGTGATAATGGTATTTGATCTTTTTTTCATCCTTCCTTTGTTTTTTTCCCCCTGCGTTATGCTTGTGCTTTCTTCTTGGCTAAAATTGTTACCCTAATGTTAACTGATGGTGTCACTATAACTCAGGAATTCTCAAACTTCATTGCACAGAGACCTCCTTCTGACAACAAAAGTTACTACACAACCACAGAGGGGGGGGATCAAAGCCTGAGCCAGCCAGAGCCCCACCCTGCCACCCTGGGCAGGGGAACCAAAGCAGAAGCCAAGGACTTCATCCACAGGCAGGGGAAATGTAACCTGAACCCTGCTTCCCAGGTTGAAGTCCTTGGGCTTTGGCCCCCAGCAAGTCACTACTTGACCAGTTGCTTCTATCAAGGGTGGGAGCAGAAGCTGGTGCTGGGGAGAGCTGGCCTCCAGCACCGTCTCCACGGGACAAGGGAAGGGAAGGCAGAGGTGCGGCAGGGGACTCTTACTACATTTAAAAGGCAGAGCAACAGGGCGGGTTAGCTCCCGTAGGCAGGAGCTAACCCCCTGCAGCTCTGCATTTCCCCCCTTATTGACTAATGGAGTAATCGATGGAAAGTCCATCTGATTAAACACAATTTAACATCCTTAAATCTGAGCCAGTTCTGCTGACCCCATTGAAATGAAGTTATGACCTATTCTGGGGTCCTGACCCATAGTTTGAGAACCACTGCAAATAACTGTTGGCAGTAGATTACTTTTCATGGCCATCTGGATATCCTTTAAGTTTTAGCTGCATTAATATAAATTAGGGACTGTGATCATAACACTCTTCAAATATTGGTCAAGTTTGTTTAATTTATTTTAGATGAATGCCTGTATGTTTTCCATGGTTGGGTGCTAATTAAGTGTGAACTAATAATTGTATTAATTAAAATAGCTCATGTAATACTCTGTAAAATAAATGGGGCAGTAGCCCCTTAGTCTAATTCGTTACTAGCTCAGAATGACAGCCTCACTGCTTACTGGTGGATTTTTCTTGTAGTTGGGAAGATCTGGGTGATTTGTACAAAATACAAAACAATCCTGGATAAATCCCAGATTCCATTTTCAGAAGTGACTAGTTATGGCATGTAAATATAGAAGCAGTGAATGTCTGCAATAGCAACTTTGTTTCACCTTTTTCTGTATTCTGAGAGGACAGCAGCCCTTGTTGTCAACCTGTGTGTGAGAGGAGGGGGGAGTATCTTAAGCTCTTAATAGTAAGATCCTTGTTACTATCTGCTATGGTTCTCTTGTTCACACCCACAGTATATTATAGAGATAGACTTCACTCAGGGCACATCTACACTGCAGGGCAAAAGTCAAATTAAGCTACCCAACTTCAGCTACATCAATTGCATAGCTAAAGTCGAAATAGCTTAATTTGCTTTTGGCACTGTGTACACAGCAGGAAGAACACTCTTCCTTTGACTTCGTTTACCCCTCATGAAATGAGGGTTACAGGAGTTAGAGTAAGAACTCCTCCATCTCAACTTCATTTCAAAATAATAGATTGCTCTGTAGATGCATATTTTGTTGTTCCAAAATAAGCTGCTGTGTAGACATGCCCTCAGATATTACATTTCTGCTAAAAACTGGTGTTAAAACAGTATAAAACGCTGCAGGATATTTAAATGTTTAGTGAGTGCCTATTGATAGAGAATGTGATTTGACTTATATGTGATATCCACATCCCTGCCCTCAGCATGTCCTGTGTCTTTTAGATCGTAAGGTATTACAGGAATATATATGACATCATAATGTGAGGTAGAAGAGGAACATTATTTTTGGTAACTGGTACAATGGTCTTTATCACAGAGTTAATCATCCAACCAGTAGCATAGAGGGGGGAGGGGCAGTTGCCTCCAGGCACCATGCTAGGGGGGAGCCAATTTAGCTGCCAAAAGTTAAGTTGTTTTTAAACTTTTTTATGATTATTTCCTATTTTGTATATATTCCAACAGTCGACTGTGAAAAGGTTTCAGCAAAACCTTCAAAAAGTAAATCGAACGATAGTTATGTTATAGTGTAGTAGAACAGTTATATTATTTACTATCGTCCTATTTAATTTTTGACAATTTCGCTGAAACCTTTTCACAGTCGACAGTTGGAATATATACAAAATAGAAAATAATCATAAAAAAGTTAACAACGTAACTTTTGGCAGCTAAATTGGCGCCCCCTTAGCGTGCCCCCGTTACCGTTCCCTCACTATGCCACTGCATCCAACGTCACACAGCAAGGAAGGCAAAAATAGGAATAGAATTTTAATCCCAAATGCTGTTTTGCTGGTTTAGCCACTTGATCTCGCCTAACCATTTTAGAAATGATGAGCAGTCTGTGGCACCCTATAGGCAAACAAATGTTTTATCATGAACTTTCATGGGTAAAAACCCACTTCATCAGATGAGTTGGATTCAAGATTCCTTTAGAAGTCTGTTAATTGTTATAAATTTCCTTTTTTTAAAGGAATACAATTAATATAAAAGTTGCAACTCAAGAACTAAAATCTTTTCCTATGTCCCTCATATTTATAGGGGGTTCAAACAAACTGCATTAGCTAGGAACACAAGGATGAGCTATAGCTTCCTTCTTATGATTTCTTCTACCATATTCTGATTTGAAAATGCATGTTATGATGCTGTGTAAGTTTCTCTTGGACATAATGTCAATAAGAAGGCTCTATATGCAAATTGGCAACACTAGCATTTGTTTGCTGTTTTAACAGACCCAATTTATGTTTCTGAAAGTTAAATTGAGAGGTTTTTCATAAGGCTGTCAAGCTATTAAAAATTTTAATCACAATTAATCGAGCAATTAAAAAAAATCTAATTGTGCGATTAATCGCATACAACTCCCCTTTGAAATGCCGTGGTGGTGCTTTCAAGGGGCAGCACTTCATGGAGTCTGGGGTCAACTGGAGTCCCCAGCTTATCCTGGGCTCTGCCTTGCGCTGCCCCTTGGAAGTGCCGTCGTGGAGTTTCCAAGGGGCAGCGCAAAGTGGAGCCCAGGGTCAGCTGGAGTCCCCATCTGATCCCAGGCTCCATGCAGCGCTGCCCCTTTAAGGCGCCGGAGTGGCATTTCAAAGGGGCAGCACAAGCGGACCTGGGGATCAGCTGGAGTCCCCATCTGATTCCCCAGCTCCACATTGCAAAGTCCCTTTGAAGTGCTGATGTAGCATTTTAAGGGCTTTTCAACAGCAGAGCTGGGGATCTTTGAAGTGCCGGAGGGGCACTTCAAAGAGGCAGCACAGCATTAACGCTTGCGATAACACGTTAATTTTTTTAACGCGTTAATCCTGTCCTGCATTAATCGCAGGCGTTAACACAGGTCAATTGACAGCCCTAGTTTTTAAACAAAAAAAATTCAGAGGGATATCTGTGTTAGTTTGTAGCTGGAAAAAAAATTAAAACAATGAATAGCCCTGCAGCACCTTGGAGACTAACAAAAATATAGATGGTATCATGCACTTTTGTGGGTGCAACCCACTTCTTCAAATGGATGGCGTTAAGAGGTATGGGGTACAAATAAATAGTCGAGAAAGAGAGGGAGTGTGGAGGGAAAGAGAAGCGGGGAAAAAAGGGGGAAATGTATACAATCTAATTGACAATATTTTCCCCCACTTTTTTCCTTCTTTTCCCCTCCCCATCCCCTCTCTTTCTCTGCCATGTATTTGTACCCTGGACCCCTTAACTGTATTCATCTGAAGAAGTGGGTTGTGCCCACGAAAGCTCATGATACCATCTACAGGTTTTTAGTCTCTAAGGTGCAACAGCACTATTCATTGTTTTTTAAGTTTATACAAAAAAGAATATTTAAGTCCTATAGTTTTGGGTGGAGAACTTTCTGAATTGGTAACAGCAATGCTTTTTGTGATCAGCCACCAATATTTCTGATGGAGAAACAAAAGTGTTATAGCGTCGTTAGGGTATAAGTTAGTGGTTAAACAATTTTAATGTTTTCACTTAACTTGGTTAGAAAAAATGCTGCCAGTCTTTGAAATCATTGTAAGGAAAGATACAAGGTCATATAGGGTTTGACATATTGGTTTAAAACTAACCATGCATTAGAAAATAAGTTTCCATCTCCCTTTCAAACCTTGTCTGTCACAGTGGGTATTCAGTTTTGAGACTTTTCTGATTTGACGGTTCTTAGTCAGCTTCATGAAGGGAAAGGGAGCATAGAGAACTAACATGACTGACTATCTCCATACAAGAGATGATTAATTCTCCTTGAGGTCAATAGAACGACTTGTATGCAACAGAGGAGTAGGTGGAACAATAGGGCCCTTCAATGGTAAATAGAAACTGGGCCATACACACTTACAGCACTTGCTAAATAAATGATGGGCAACATTCTGCTGTGTATGTCTGTTCTTCAGAGTACCTAGAGTGAGTGCAGTCATGTAGTATGTACTTGGCGAAAGGCTATATTCTCTCTTCTCTTATTTTGACAGGAATCTTTTAATCCTACTATGCAGCTGCACCTTGTACATCAAGCTCCACGCACCGTTCCTCCTTACCTCTCCAAAAACGGATCAACCCTTGGAGAATTATTAGTGGGCTTCTTCAAATATTATGCCACAGAATTTGAGTAAGTGACAAACTTCTACCTGTGTTTATGTGAAAATGTGACGTGCTTGGATGTAGCATGCTAACATTTTGAAGACTGATCAACAGAGAGAGGAAAATAGTTTGAGGTAGGAACAGGTGATGAAGAGCAAGGATTGAAAGAACTGGAAAGGGGCACGTGACAGCACTTTGGACGTGCCAGTAGAAGCTTGGCAGTGAGACTTGCCTATGGTTGCTTAATAAACTACCTCAGTTTAATCTGCAAAATAGTCTGCCAAAAATCAAATAGCTCTATTGTCCCACAGCCAGCTATTTAGTAGCGTGCTATTTTAGACTGACACTTCCTTCTCCAAAGAGATTCTGGATGCCACTTAAGTTACTGATTTTGATATAAGTTGGGTTCTGGTAACTTCAGTGGCTTCTTCCCTCTTTTTCATAGTTTCATCTTGGGTCACGTACCTTAGTTAATATATAAGCCCTCTATTTGACTGAAACAAACACCTTGAAATTGCACCTGGAAATCAACTGCTGTTCAATGCAGATTGGAGTACATTCTATATGATCTCCAGTTCTTCGAGGACTTGCTTATGTCTTTTCCAGTTAGGTGCGTGCATGGCATGTCTACAGCAGCCAGAAGGCTTTTCCCTTAGTGGTATCCCCCTAGAGTCATGCCTCCATAGCACCCATAGAGAGTCCTGTCAACCCACCACCACTTCATTTCCTCCTTGTTGCCTGTTAATGGTCAGCTGGAATGCTTAATTCTCTTGTTTCCGCAAGCCTTCTCCCCAGGTGTCTTTGGACTGTTTCTGTAAGTAGTTTAATCAGTTAGTAGTTGTAGTTAGTCATTTTATATAGTTAGAATTCCAATAAAGAAATATTCTGTGTATTTTCTTCCATTTTCACTTATCCCTCTATTCCCATCCCCTCACCAGTACCGGGGCATGTCTAGGTCCTCAGGGTTTAAACTCTGTGCAGCTTGTAAGAAGTCTATGTCCAGAAATGACCCTCACACATTTTACTTGAAGAATCTGGGGGAATTGCATTAGAAGGATCATTGCAGGATCTGCAGGAGATTCCACCCCAGGATTCAAAAGAAAAAGACCAACAATTAAAAATCCTTCTGATGGAGGCCTCTTTCCATCTCCACTTGGAGCCATGTTCAATCAAGCCAACACCTAGTACCTGTAATATCTGCACAGTGGCCCAGTGTCGACGGAGACCTGAAAAGGACTGTGATAAAGACACTTGGCACCAGCAGGTCCTTGTATAGGGGCTCTGCACATTAGTAGTGTGTGGCATTGCTCCCCATCACCAATGCCCCTCAAGAAGAAGTTAGACGGGATGCTCACTTATAATGAGACCGGGATAGAAAGACTTGAGTGCATTGAGACCCAGCGTGGCTCCATCTAGCCCAGCATGGTTGACTCCTGCTTCAAAAAGGAGTCGGTTGAGTCTGGTTCTGCAGGACTCCTTTCTCTGGAGGAGTCGAGGAGAGGCTTTGGAGCTTCCCTCCATGCCAGAGACCTCTGAGGTGGTGAGAGTTCTTCACCTTCATGGCACCACCTACTCCACTCAGGCAACACCAGACACCAAGCTCAAAGGCAACATCACCCCCGAAATCCACAGTGCTGTTCCTGAGGCAAGATGGCAACGTTACCATGTCAGTCACCGTAGGCTTGGCACTGATACTTTCAAGAATGGCAGGGGAACTGCACCTATTCCCAATTTCCCAGCATCAGTCGCTGATGCACGTGACACTGTTTCTCCTTGGTCTTCCCAGAGTGAGTTCTCCCCTGGCAGAGTTCTCTGTGTCCAGGTGCAGCTGACACAGATTGGAATACTGAGGTTCACGGTTGGATAGTGAGACAGCAATTTTCCCAGATGCTATGGCCCACCCAATGTCAGGTTCCAATCTAATGGCCTTTTTGGACCCTCTGGGTGTCCAGCAAAGCAGAGGGTCCCATTCCAGGAGATACCCTTGTGATAGATCCCTACCCCCAATGGCGAAAAGGACAGAGAGGAAGTATTTTGTCCTCTTTAAAGGGTTTGAACATGTTTATTCACACCCGCTGCCATATTTCTTAATGTTGGCAGCAGCAAAAAAATGTGAACATCAAGAGCACCATGGACGCTCACCTAAAACCCAAAAAGCAAAGAAGTTGGAGCTCTTTGGGAGGAAAGACTATTCTACTAGGGGACTCCGGCTTCAGATTTCAAACCACAAGGTGATCCTTAGCAAATCATAGAACACTAGAACTGGAAGGAACCTCAAGAGGTCATCGAATCCAGTCCCCTGCCCTCACAACAGGACCAAGCACCGTGTAGACCAGTGTTTTTGAAAGTGCTCCGCGAAACCACTTTGAGAAACACATTAACTGGCTGCCCCAGTTAGTTTATTTCGTGGCTCTCATTGGCTCCGTTTCGTCCTTTGCAGCCAACAGGAGCCCTGGGAAGTGGCGTGGGCCAGGCCACCACTTCCCGCTTCTCCGCTTGGCTGCAAAGAGTGAAACGGAGCCAATAGGAACCGCAAGGCTCCGTGGCTGCAGCACCAGTAAATAAACAAACAGGGGTGGCCAGTTAATGTGTTTCTCAAAGTGGTTTCGCGGAGCACTTTCAAAAACACTGGTCTACACGGTGCTTGGTCCTGTTGTGAGGGCAGGGGACTGGATTCGATGACCTCTTGAGGTTCCTTTCTTGCTGCAGTTTAAGCTTAAATGTAGCTTCAGTTCCTGCATGGCTATGTTGGAGTTCACAAAGCTTCTGCCAGAGGACTCGAGGGCAGTGTGTTTTGCCTCGGTGAAGAAGGCAAGCTTGTGATATGGGCTTTGCTTCAGATAGCCCTAGATGTTGCTGATTCAGCTCTTCAAACAATGGCCATGGGGCTTGCCATGAGAAGAAGCTCTTCACTGCAGGCAACAGGGCTCCCTTATGAAGTCCAACACACCATCCAGGACCTCCATTCGAGGGCTTGACCCATTTCTTCAAGAAAACAGACTCGTGTCTGTGTAGACTTAAAGGCTCAAGAGCTACTCTCGAATCCCTTGGCCTCCATATTCTGTCACTGCAATGGAAGCATTTTCAGCCCCTGCTTCAGTTCTACCAACCTCAGAACAGATGGGACTGTAATAGAGGTGTAATAGAAGCCACAGGAGGAAACCTCCTCTGTCATTTGCTCAAGGTTCTGGGCAGGTGGAACAGTCCTCTGACCAAAATGAATCTTTTGAAGGTGTATACAAGGGCAATGCTTCTGTTCAAACAGTATTTCCAACTATCCCATCCTTTTTGTGCTGACTGTCCTAGCTCTACCATGTGTCGCAATCTGAACAGAGTTGTGGTTTCAGACCCTTTACAACATGTTCAGCTTCCCTACTCTATCCTACCTCCCTTCTGTGTCCCTTGTTAGAGAGCCCTCTCACAAGCATCTCCTAAGGCAAGAGGTGCAGCTGCGATTAAGAGCATGAACAGTGAAGGAGATTCCTCAGGAAATAAGGGCAAGTGATTTTACTTGGTAAACCAAAATCACTGTCCATTCAAAGTCCTCTCCTTTGGCCTGTTGGTGGCACCTCGAGTGTTCACCAAATGCGTGGCAGCCATGGCTGCTTTCTGCAGAAGTGTCTGGTGCTGGTATTTCCATACCTCAACTATTGGCTCATCAAGGGCCTCTCCACAACATAAGTGGAGGTGCATTTAAGCCTCATAAGATCAACTTTTGATAGCCTTGGCTTTCTCCTGAATGTGCAGAAGTCAATCCTGTCCTCCCTCAGAGGATAGAGTTCATAGGGGCAGTGTTAGACTCAAGACAGTAGAGAGCATTCCTAACAGAGGTGTGATTACAGACTCTTTGCAGCATCATTCAAGATCTCCGACATTTTTGTACCTTCACAGCAAGGAATTGTCTGAAGCTCTCTGCCACATGGCCACCTGTACTTATGTAGTGCAGCATGCCAGACTGAGGCGCCAGCCCTTCCATATTTGGCTAGCATCTGTATATTAACCAAACCAGAGTGGCTTAAACAAAAGCAGTCACACTTTCTTGGCTGGTTCTTGTCTCACCTATGGTAATGCAAAGAGCAAGCTATGTATGCAGGGATTCCCTTCTCCAAATCTCAAGCATCACTTTCCCTGGTCACAGATGCACCAGTGATGGGGTGGGGAGTGCATTTGCGGGAGCTCAGGCTCAGGGCCTCTGATCCCAAGCAGAGCACTCACTTTATTTCAACATCAGACTGCTGAAGGCAGTCCATCTGGCATGCCAAACCTTCCAGACTCACTTGGAGGGTACTGTGTATCAGTCATGACAGACAATACAACAGCAGTATTTAAATAAACGGGGGAGCATGCTCCACTCTCCTGGGCCAGGAAGTCCTCAAACTTTTTTATAATCCACTTGATGCGTTTGGAGGTATCTTATCTTCCAGGGATTTAGAACAAATTGCAGACCATTCCAGCAAGTCCTTTCAGAACCGCAACTGGTCAATTCACCCAGATGTCATGAACAAGAACTTCCAGCAGTTGGAAATTCCCAAGATAGACATGTTTGTGACAAGACACAACAGGAAGCATCTTCATTTCTGCTTTTTCATGAATTATAGCCCAGGCTCAGTCTCAGAAGCATTCCTTTTCTCTTGGAAGGATGACTTAATTTAGCATTTCCACTCATTCACATGGTGCTACTCAGAGTTCAGAGGGACGGAGCCTCTCGGGTATTGAAAGCTCCTGCCTGGACACATCAGTACTGGGGCACATCTCTTCTTGATCTGTCAGTAGATAATCCAGTCAGTCTTCTGCTGCTCCCAGACCTGATAACTCAGGACAGTCTTCAGCATCCCAACTTTGAATTAATCTACCTCATGGCTTGGAGACTCCAGTAATAAATCCAATGGCGCTTGCTTGCTCTGGTCCAGATATGAAAGTCCTCTTTGGCAGTAAGAAACCATCTGCGTGCCAAATAGAAGAGATTTGCGAGTTGGTCATTTGAGAAACATAAGTCTCCTATGCACCTGCCAATGCCTTTTACCTTGG